CGCCTCCTAACCCCTTAGAAGCCCCCACCTCCCTGACCGGGTGTGACTTCCCCGGCCTGTGATAGCCAGACCGCAGAACATCACCCGGGAGTGGCACTCAAATAAACTACCTGGCCCTTTGTTGCCTCTCTTCGCCTGCTTATTTCGGCTAAAATTTATCTTACAGTCCTCAATCTTCAGAGAACTTGAAAGGGGAAGAAAAAGCCCAGGCCCTGTCCTACTTTAGTGAGTCTGGGCCCATGCCTATGTGTTCTTTATTTGCCATTCCATGTAATTCTGATACTATGAAATGATCTATCTTTCTTCTTTCCTTACTTCTTCCCTTCCTCCTTCCCTCCCTCCCTCCCCTCCTTCTTTCCTTCCCTCTTCTTCCAACATCTCTAACTCTCAATCTCTGTCTTCCTCTTTAAGAATAAATAACTTCAGTTTAAAAAGGGTAAGACTCTGGGTGCTGGAGAAGGACAGGGATTCTTTTCTTTGGTAATAGGATTTAGTTTGCAAGGAAAAGAAGACTAATGCCTAGGGGCTATAAAATTGCAGTTTCCCAAACCCTAGGTATTGCTCTAGGGCTTGCTTAGACATTCTGGCAGTTGTGGGAACTTTTCTGTAGGTATACTGCCTGAGTGTACTGAGAAACTAGAGCAACTGAGCTGGGCTCAGAGCAGTTCCACTGGATTCTGTCCAAATTCAGATCCACACTGCCACTGTCATCACTATCTGTCTCAACTGCCTCTAAGGAAAGACACCAAATGGCTGTCAGACTTGCTGGGAATGAGACCCTCACATATACATGTAGAAATGAGAGGCTTGCTCTTCTGCAAAGAGGGAGACTGAGTGACTATCTTTCTGAATCTTCATATTTCCAGAGTTAGGGCCTCCAGTGGCTCCCAAAAGCTCTACACAAAAGTTTGGGTCATAGGCATATGGTATTGTTTGCAGCTTCTCAGCTGTGTGGGCCTCCCATAGTTTGTGGGCCCAGCTACAAGATACAGGTTTAGCTCAGGGCCTCACTGAGCATGTTCTTGGTCATATCTATTGAACTGCATACAGGTAGACCCAACCTCTCCTAGTCTTTTTCTAACCCAATGCTGTCTTATCAATTGGCTTGTCCCAGGAGAATACACAAACTTCTTTGGTGTTGAGTGCTTTGCAATAGCCAGAGATAATATTTGAGGAGACAAAAGAAAAATAAGACAAAAACAAAAATGAAAAGAAGGGAGGCAGAGAAACAGAGAGAAAAAGAAAATAAAGGGAGAAAAAAAGAAAAGTTTTGGTAATGACACTTACTTCATAGTGTTCTAGGTTTCTTAAGCCCTGCCTCAATCTTTCAGAAATTAATTGCTGTTACTTTGAAGCTGAAGTGATAAACAGCTAACATGGGGAGTCTAATATATTGTGATTTATAGGAACTCAGAGTACACACAATAGCTTCTCATGTTCATAATGAGAAAGGCTACAGAGACCGCCAGGGCCTTTCTAAGCTAAAACTACAAAGAACTGATTTTGCTTACAATAAGTTTGTTGGCTGCTTCTTTAATCTTGTCCACTTTTGCTTCTGAAAGTCCTTTGACATTGCATAGGGCTCTTTTTGTTGTCATTTGTATCCCTTTGATGGTACAGATTCCTACTGACTTCAGTTTCTTAATGTCAGCCACGTTCTGTGAATAAAAGAATGGGCACAGCAGATTGGTCAAATGCTAGCCTGAAAGGCTCCCAGACTATGTCATGTGCTTTTGTGTCCATCTCCTTCCACCATGATGCCAATTTTATACAAGCATCCAGGTGGAACCCACCCACCATGAAGCCAAATGTTCTGGAAATATCTGAGTAGAACATACCCAGCATGCTGCCAAATGTTCTGGCTGTGCCCTGATTTCTCAAGAATGTTAGTGAGACCATGGTAATATAACAAGGAATTCAAAAGAGACGTCTGTTGGTAGAAAAGCTAGCAAATTTATCACACGTTCACCCCCTCAGTTCAGCTCTTTCCTTCTACAGAACTTCATTACCAATATGTTCTTTTAAAAATTTTAGAGATTTTTTTTTCCTCTACTCTTGAAGAATGCAAATAACCACATCACCAAAGGAACAGGATTTTCTCTTGCTCCTGTTTTGTAATTTCAGCTGAAAGGGATTAAATGCTGGGCTTCACAAGATAATGTCAGGGAAGTTTTATTATCAACCTATTGCTGTTGAAATTCATCTAGTTTAATTGCTCCAAGTCTGGATTTCTGTCAACATCACTTAGGCAAATCACCTGTCTGGCACAGGACTGAATTTTCCGTTGATGAAGATTGATGTAGATAGTTCTGAACACTCCAGTTCGATCAGTGGTTCTCCAGGGGCAATTTTGCTCTTTGGGGACACTTGCCAATGTCTGGAGAAATTTCTGACTGTCACAACTGGAGGGGTGCTACTGGGTTATAGCGAGTGGTTAAGAGCCAAGGATGCTGCTACCCACCTTACAGTACATAGGACAGCCCCCCACAACAAAGAATTGCCCAATCTCAGATGTCAAAAGGGTCAAGGCTGAGAAACCCTGAATTCCACAATTTCACATAGCTACTTACAATTCCATGTTTTTGTAACAGGTCAATGTCTTGAAACAAGGATTCCTAAAGGAAATGAAACAAAAAAACACAGAGTTTTGATTCTTCATATTCAGTAGTTTCACATCTTTTGAAGAGTTAATTCAATACCATGAGTCACTGAAAAATGCCTCAAATTCCAAGTCTCTAGACAGATTGAGTTAGGATCAATAATCTCTTTCCAAACACACTGCTGCATACTTAAAAGAAGCACCAACATTGAACGGGCTGGGAAGCCCGGTATTTTTGTCATGGCCTCTCCAAATGTTTAAGACTTTAACTCAAAGGGATGGAATAACACTTAACCTATTTTTAAACATGTTTTTTCAACCTTCTTCCCCACCAGCGATTGTACTCCTTCCTCTGCTCTTCAGTACCAGTATGCACAGAATACCAGTATGACCCAACCAGTAGCTATTAAAATACTTTCATGCCAGTTGCTAAGTAGCTAATCTTAACATTCCTTGCCAAGCAAGTTGTTACATCTTTGTAATACTGCCTCTCTCTAGAGCTGTTTTATTTCTACTGTTTCTAAAAATAGTAGCTAACAGAGAAGGAACTTCATTTTTGTGGAATGACTGAATGTCTACATATCTTACAACATTCTAGCCATACCTCTTCATCTTGGAACCCTGGTTCTTCCAGCACAACTTGATCCTCCTTCATATTGGAAGGCAAGCAGCAGAAAAAGAATCAATTCTGGGAAAACAAGAAATAGTATTTAAGTAGTCATAGATCTTACAGGACAAAAGCCTTTGCCCAGAGATGCCCTGGATTTCATTTCAAAGTCACTGAGGACCAGGACAATTACAGAAACATTTGTTTGGAGTGACTGGCTGGCCTATCTACTTTTTGCTGGGCATGTGATATTATTTCTTTTGTAGGCGTATGTATGTGGGGGTAGATGACTTAGTTTCTTGTCTTTCCTCAAAACTGGTCACTTTTTACCTTTTGATTTCCTATTGCACAGTTTGTCATTACTGTCTGATAATATCTTTCTTGTTGTCTTAGAATGCTAGAATTGCAAAGAGTTAATTAGGCTTTCATGTTTATGTTAGCAACACACTAAAAACACTGACTTATGTCATGCTTCTTGTACCTTCCCTGGCTCCTAGAACTTAGTCTACACTCAATAAATTGATCTTATTTTTCTCATATGGGATGAATGCCTCCTGTGTGCTAATTCTGAATGGGCTCTCCTTTCCTAGAACATCAGATGTATCTTGTGTTATAGTATTTAACTAGTTTCATGACTTTTTAAAAGATGTATCATGTAAGTGGATACCCAGTATTATGATAATATTAGGGCCAATAAGCAGTTGTTTTAAGCTCTCAGGAACGTACAACGGATGACTAGAATAAAATGTGGTTCAAGTCATCTGTTTTCTTGATCTATTCCATTTCCTCACTTAACACCAAAATCAGGCACTGGGGCCCCGCAGAAGGGCAGCGAGCTACTATGGGGGAGCTGTGGTCGCTACCACGCTGCCACACAGCAAAGTATTCGCGGCAAACGAGCAGCGTACATGGAATCTTCTGGAATACCCCAGACAGCGCCTCATGTATAAGATCGCCAAAAATTCCACGTTGATGTTCCTCATCGAAGACAGAAACAATTCTTCCCTTGATAAAACGAAGAGATGGTTCTGTGTTTTTCTGAAGTAGCCACTGGCGGACTGAACCCCGCATCTCAAGGAGGGCCCCCTGACCCCTAGGCTGCCGGCGCCTGAAGCTGCCCTCGCCACCGGGGAGCGAGGTCCCGGTCACCGCGGCCGCCCCCCTGCAGGACGCCTGGTCAGCACGGGCCGCCAGACATTTTCATGACACCTGATTCCCTCATGATGGGGCCGAGGAGGCCACTTAGGGACTTGGGTTCGCACTGCTTTTAAAAAAATGTGGGGTCACCGTTATTCCCTCCCACGGGGGGGGCGGACGCCCAAAGGCATCATCCGTCCGGGGGCCGGCGACCACCGCCAAGCGTTACCGAAGAATGGCGCCCTTGGGTTTCCCCTCAGATTCCTCACACGCTTTCCCTTTTTGCCACAAACCCCGCTTGTACCCACTGTCTCCCCGAGGTTTCCGAAGGGAATCCCTTCTGCCCCCGCCCGGGCTTTCCGGTCCTCAGGGATTCGGACTCGCCGCCGAACGCTGAGACGGGCTGCCCGCGCGCCGCAGACCAGGGGGTTTTGCGCCAACCTGCGGAGTCCCCGCGCGCGCCCTTTGTGGGCGGGGCGAGGGGCGAGGGGCGGGCCCAGGTGGGCGGGGCGGAGCCGGGCGGGGATCGAGCCTAGGAGGTGGCGCGCTGGGCCCGCCGAGGGGCGCCCAGGTGGAGGAAATCTGCTGAGCAGAGCGGCTTTGAAGTGAAGGGATGGGGCGTCCCTTGAGCTGAGGGAGATGCTGAGGTTTGGGAGAGGACTCCAGGGTGGGGGCCCTGAGGAGACGCGTCGATGTGCGGGGTGCTGAGGGGGGCGCTGGGGGGAAGACAGGCAGCTGCCTGGGAAAGAAGGCCCCGAGGTGGGGGCTGTTCCGGGAGCGAGAGGCCGCTGGCAGGGCTCTCGGGGCGGAAGGCCCCGAGGCTGGGAGGCGCGCAGAGCGGCGGCGGCCGTCGGGGCGGTGGGTCGCAGAATGCTCCCTCGGGACCGCGGGGCGGGAGGCCGAGAGCGGCGGCCTGCCGCCCGTGCCGGGGGCGTTCCTTCCCACCGCGGTGTGTCGCCCCCGGCCGCACTGACGCGCAGCACCCCTTACTTCCCTCCCCTCGCTCTGACCCCGTTACCGTTTGCCGCTCTGTCGTCTGTGAGCGAGGCACCGAAGGCCCGTTCAGGATGGAGAGTAATTTTTCATCTTAACTTCAACTTTTAAATAGACAACACGCGGGACGTTATTTTTGGTCCAGCTCTTAGCTAGGGGTTTCAGGCCCGCCTTCGTGCCAGCAGAGCCCGCTCTGGCGGCGTCCTCCTCCCCCGAGACGGAGACTGTTGCGGAGTCGTGACACATTTGAGAGAGCATCTGTTGAGGTGGAGGCTGTGATGTATCTTGGATAAATATCTGTGCGAACAGTTCTGTGGGTTCAAGACCTAGTACAGGGCGACCCTCTTTCTGAAGTGTCTGAATCATTTTCCTGGAATAAATAGCAAAAAATTCCCACAATAACAGTTGGCATTTTGTAGGACTTTTTTCCCCCCCGAGTGGATGTTTAAAGAGCCAACAAATAATTGCCATAGCTCTTCAAAATCTGTTATTTTCCAGAAACATAGCCTGTCCGTCGTGTTAAATGGAAATTAATGCTAATGTGGGGGATGAACTGGATAGTGACTATAGTAGGCTTTTGCCTTGAGGCCTCACCTGAAATAACTATAGTAACTTCTGAGCAACTAGTTAGATGGGGACAGCAATCGTATAGAAGAGCTGCAAAGAGCACAGCAAGACGATTTAGGGAAATATAACATATGTAGTTTGGTGTAGTGACAGCTGGGAGAGAGAAATGTTCATAATATTTGAAAGTTGTGTGCAGTACACTTAAGGAAACTGAAATGAGCTTGGTAATGACAAATTCATGAAGTAAGCATAAAAATATTGTTTGGATATGATATTGATAATTATATACAACTTTAAAAAATTTTTTATAAAACAAACCCCTAAAAAGTACACTTGAAGACCTTTTCACTCAAACCAGGACCAAAAAAAGACTAGTTTTTCATATACAAAAGTTCTAAATATGATGAAGCTGGCATTTCAGATCAGTGGGGAAATAGTGAATTCAATGAATGGTGTTGGAACAGGGAGGTAGCCATCTGGAAGGATAATAAAATTGGAACCACACTTCACACCTTATGCCAAAATAAATTCCAGATGGATCAAGAAATTAAATCTGAACAATAAAAGTGCTAGAAGAAAACGAGACATTTTATTATCCCAGAAAAGGAAAACTCTTTAAAGTATGACACAAAAATCAGAAGCCATAGAAGACTTATAAAAACAACTACGGTTAAATAAAGAAACCTTGCATGGAAAAATGCTGGTTTCCTATCTTAGAAATAGACCATGGCAAGCCAGAGCTTTATGTGCATCAGTAACCAATTAGTAATTGCATCAATTAGCTTTCCCATTTCTCAAACCCTTCAGCAAGTCCACAAGTTCTCTTTAAAATTTAAAACACTTTGTGTCATTTTTATGATAGTCTAAGAAAGAACAAAAAAGACAGTGGGATTACAGACCGTCAAGACCTGGAATTTTAATCCCTTACACTTTACTGCCCCTTTGTGGACAACCTAATAATCAAATAGGGGCATATGATTCTACTGTGTACAGTTGGATTTCCTCAAAATTGGTGCCTATGGATATGTATTCTTTGAAGTTTTTAAGAGTTCAAATTTGAGAAATGCTTCCGTAGAGAACTAGAGAATAAAGAGTAATCATACAAAAAAGAATTTCAATGAGTACATCTGCCCTTAAACGTATTTCATTCATTCAAAAGATGTTTTTTGAATCCCTACAATTTGTCACTGTGCTAGGTGTTCAGTACTGAGGATTCAACAACAAACAAGAAACAAACCTTAGTGGAGGATATAAATACATAGGCAATTACAGTAGTATATCACACACACACACACACACACACACACACACACACACACACACATACATACATACTTACCAGTCATTTGGGTTTTTCTTATTTATTTAGATTTATTTTCCAAATTGGAAAAACTTTCAACTTTGGCACATAGTTGCCCAGAGAGGCATGTATGTGATAGTTTATTTACCCAACATTTATTAAACACTGCTTGATCCCAGCTGTCTGCTGGATATGGAAATAATGACAAGTCTCTGCCCTCAAGGAGCCATGAATCTAGTAGGGAAGACAGATAAATAAAAAGATAATCACACACAAGGCAAGATAAGAGGGATTATATATGCAGTTTAGAACCAAGTAGACTTCTCCCTGGGGCATCCTCACAGAAGTGGTGACCCTTAGTTTGGGGCTGGGAAGGATAAGTGAGGACTTGCCAGACTGACAGGGTGGGAAAGGCATAGGGAACACATAGGTTTATTTAGGAAGCTCCAGGAAGTTCTGCTGGAGTGAAAAGTGCAAGGGAGAAAGGTGCTTCCAGAAGCAAAGGGGAGAAGACAAAAGGGTTAATCTGACAATAGCCAACACTTAAATAGCATTTACTGCTTTCTACAGATTAATGTTTGTCACAGAGACACCAGGAGGTAGGTACTATTATTACCCCTATTTACAGATGAGGGAACTGAGTCACCACAAGGCTAAGCAACTTGAGGCTCACAGTCTGGCTCCAGTGTCTGTGTTCTTAACTGATGCTACACCAATAGATGGCAGACCCAGTATATTCATATGCAGTTTCATTTCCCATTTATAGAAGTACAGTATAAGCACACACAGGAGTGGCAGCTAAGCCAGACTTACACTGCAATTCAGCCATTTACTAGCTGTGCGATCTTGGGAGAAACTATTTAACTTCTTTATGCCTTAGATTCCTCATCTGAAAACCAAGAATAACAACAGTACTGAGTTGTTGTGAGAATTAAATGGGTTAATGCATCTGAAATGTTTGGGGAATGGATTGGAGGGAGCAAGAAAGAGGGCAAAGAGAATAACTAGGAGGAAATTGTGAAAGTCCAAGCCACGGGTAATGGCTTCAACCAAGAAACACCTCAGTTTGAAAAGGAAAACCTGTACTTCACTCACAGGGCTATACTGAGAAAACAATAAAATAATGTGTGAAACTATGCTTAAAAGTGTGTAGTCCATAGTAAATGCCTTTAAATTTTAAGTTATGGATAATTTTTCAGATGTACAAAAGTAAAATAATATCCCTATCACCCAGTTTCAACAATTTTCAACACATAATTAATCTTGTTTCACTTAGAGCTCTATCCACTTGTGTCTAGTATGACAAGATGCTGCCTGTTCATCTCATGACTTTCCTGCCATAGGCCTGGAACCATTTCTTCAAGAATCCCTGGATCCTGTTAGTGCAAATAGTATTTCAATACCACAGTCTGTGTCATTGCTACTGGGTCAATCTTTATTTTTACATCATTTCAATGGACAGAGTTGGGAAATAGGTGTTTTTAAAAAGTATCTTTATTAAGGTATAAATGACATACAAGAAATTTTACATATTTAAAGTGTGTATATAGTGTGAACCCTTTGGTGGAATGAAGATAGTGAGCATATCCACCACCCCAAAAAGTTCATTTGGGCCTCTTTGTAATCCCTTCCATCCTCTCCTCCCTCCCCTCTCTAGTTCATCTCCCACCCTTATTCCTCAGACAGCTGTTTGCTTTTTAAACATAAAATATATCTTCAGTTTATAGTCAATTCAAAAATCAGGATTATAGGATTTTAACTTCGTCTCTTCTAGTTTAACATCTGAATTTCCCTTCTGTCATACCGAGAATACTGGTTCTCAGTGACACTGGGAATGATGGAATTGGATATCACACAGTTACTCCTTTGTCACACATTACAGTAAATGCTTTTTATAAGTTAGTTTCCTTTGATTTTCTACTCTCCTCCCCTTATAAAGAGCAAAAAATTCTTCACCATATTTTCCCTTCTAATATTTACAAAGAGCAGAGACAGGCCTTTTTATATTGAACTTCCTGAGAGGTCTATGGTTATGAGTTCTCAGTAATTTCTGGAAGGAGTTCATGCAGGGATGATCTTGGACCCAAGCTGTGCAAAGGATTATCCTGAAAGACAGCAATGCAGTTTGCCCTGGGCCCAGAAAACCAGGAGACCTTCTTTCTGGGTGGGGGCCCTGGTAGATATAGATAAACAGGCAATATTTCCTCTGTTATAACTGCTACTAATGAGGGTGCACAATAGACTATGGGAGAATATTGGAGGGTTACATGCACCGACTTTGCTAGTGGTGTATCAGGGAAAGCTTCCTGGAGAAGGGAGCATCTATGTAAGGTCCTGAAGGAGATGCAGGAATGAGTGATGTTAGGAGTTAATAGTGAAAAGGGAGAAGGGATTTTCAGGTACAAAAGGAGCAATAGGCAAAAGGCCTAGAAATAGGAGAGAATATGGTTCCTTACAGGAATTGCAAATGAAGAGGCGATTGTGGCTTAGATAGTGAAGGGAAGGTGAGAGAGCCCTGGTTATCTGAGCTGTATGGTGCCTTGTACATGGCAGGTGCTCAATATGTCCTGGTTTCAGGAGAGGAGTGTACTTTTTACAGCAATGATGACAACAACAATAATAATAGTTGATAGGTATTACTAACTGAAATACCCTGTGCTGTGATGGTTGCACAAATTATCTCATTTAACCATCACAACACTACCCTCCTAGGCAGGTGTTCCCTTTATGCATTCAAGAAAAAAGTTCAGAAAGGTCAAGCTACACAGATACTATGCTTCATAACTTTGTTATGAAGAATGGCAAGGACTCAAAGCCCAGAATTTTCTGGGGCCAAAGCTTGAGCTTCTTCTTATTTATTTATTTATTTATTTATTTTAATGGAAGTATAGTTCATACACAGTATTATACTGGCTTTAAGTTTTGGAGGGAGCAAGAAAGAGGGCAAAGAGAATAACTAGGAGGAAATTGTGAAAGTCCAAGCCACGGGTAATGGCTTCAACCAAGAAACACCTCAGTTTGAAAAGGAAAACCTGTACTTCACTCACAGGGCTATACTGAGAAAACAATAAAATAATGTGTGAAACTATGCTTAAAAGTGTGTAGTCCATAGTAAATGCCTTTAAATTTTAAGTTATGGATAATTTTTCAGATGTACAAAAGTAAAATAATATCCCTATCACCCAGTTTCAACAATTTTCAACACATAATTAATCTTGTTTCACTTAGAGCTCTATCCACTTGTGTCTAGTATGACAAGATGCTGCCTGTTCATCTCATGACTTTCCTGCCATAGGCCTGGAACCATTTCTTCAAGAATCCCTGGATCCTGTTAGTGCAAATAGTATTTCAATACCACAGTCTGTGTCATTGCTACTGGGTCAATCTTTATTTTTACATCATTTCAATGGACAGAGTTGGGAAATAGGTGTTTTTAAAAAGTATCTTTATTAAGGTATAAATGACATACAAGAAATTTTACATATTTAAAGTGTGTATATAGTGTGAACCCTTTGGTGGAATGAAGATAGTGAGCATATCCACCACCCCAAAAAGTTCATTTGGGCCTCTTTGTAATCCCTTCCATCCTCTCCTCCCTCCCCTCTCTAGTTCATCTCCCACCCTTATTCCTCAGACAGCTGTTTGCTTTTTAAACATAAAATATATCTTCAGTTTATAGTCAATTCAAAAATCAGGATTATAGGATTTTAACTTCGTCTCTTCTAGTTTAACATCTGAATTTCCCTTCTGTCATACCGAGAATACTGGTTCTCAGTGACACTGGGAATGATGGAATTGGATATCACACAGTTACTCCTTTGTCACACATTACAGTAAATGCTTTTTATAAGTTAGTTTCCTTTGATTTTCTACTCTCCTCCCC